CTACCGTATTCCCCAGATATATCTTTTGTCGAATGAATAATTCATTCCCTCAACTGCATTTTTTTGCGGCAAATGGGAAGAAAAATACCGAATAAAAATCCGTTTGTCTCCGGCTGGCAAAAATCTCAATTAGAAACTGTATTGTTGCATTGTTCAATGCTGTTTTTCAATAGTGACAATAAATCCACATTAGACACCCACCAATCGGCTGTACCGCTATCCCAGGTGGGCGACTCGTAGCGTCTGACCCACAAACTCAGCGGCACGATTTTTATTCTCATTGTCCTCCTCTCTTCTTTCTGCTTCTCCCCCGAAAAAAAATTATGTCACTGAGTACACAACGGGTCTTACAAAACAATTCACATCACCATCACAGCTCGGGTCACAATCGTCTTTATTATTCCCCGAAATATGCCGCACGGTCCAGGGGTATAAAAAATTTATCTCAAAAGTCCCCCATAAATTTTATGAGAAATCATCTAAAAATTCCAAGGGCATGATTTTTGGGTTCCTCAACTCCATTTTCTTTTAAGATTATAATATATATATAAATTTATAGGTTTATTTTTTTTTATTTGTCGATTTTTGTTTTTTTTTTTTAATCTTAAAAATTTTTTTATTGTGGAATTATTTCTGTTATACCCTACGGGATTACCGGAAAATCCACTTTGAGCTATTGGACTCTCACAGTGAATTAGAAAATGGACAATGAGATGCACTCGGTTTGCGGTCACCAGTAATTGAGCCAATCACCCAGATTGCTCGGCAGCACGTAGCACTCATCGCTCATCGAATTTCAAAATTTCGAAATTCGTCGACATTTGTGGGACATTGAACTTTGGTTATATTCGAGGTCAATTGTAAACTCCCAGGCTACTCTCCCTAGAGACAGCAGTTACCGCACTTTCTCCACCAGCGAATGTGCACTTGATGCCCACCTCTTCCGTCTCTATTCACTATTTTGAATAACACCAATTATACCGTTTGATTACTTTAACGAGCTCGTACTTATTGCTTCATTACCTCCGTGTCTCCCGCCGAATTATATTTCCTGGCTTTTTCATTTTAAATTCAATATCAATTATTACTAAAATTCCCTACGAGTTACAGGAAATTTCAATTAGTCATGAGCGTTGATAGAACTCATAAAAAATTTACTGCTGATGTTCTCTTAATTGTTAATAGCTCATTCAATCTTCAATTAAATATTCTATTTTTCAAAATCGAAAGTATACTTCTACTCTGAAATTAACCCAGAGTGTAGACAATTAAGAAAATTCTTCTCAAGTTACAGGTATTCAGAAAAGGCAAAAAGTATCGTTTATCGTACTCTCTCCTCTTCCTGAATATTTAATTAATAGAAAATTCCGGATAATTTGCCGTTGAATATTCATATTCGCTCAGAATATAAATATTGAAACCTCCTCGAATTTTAATTTTTAATTCTAGGATTAAACAATTATATATTAATTATATATTTTGCTGGGACCTTGAAATTCTCTTGAATTTTTGGAATGTCGGTGAAATAAATTTTTTTGTCATGGTTTATGATTTTTTTTGGATTCCCCGACTGCTCCCATTGTTATTAACTCAAGATTTAATAACTCTCTCATTAGAGAACAGCTCTCCCAGGATTAGATAATTCTCACGATTGCGACTTTCACGCTCCGGGTAATAGTGGAAAAAAGGCCCGTTGCACTATCTCGTCCCTATTTTGTAGCCTCCCCCCATTGTAATTCCTTCACTTATCGGTGTACGCAGGGTGAAAGCGACCTCGACGATTCGGATAATTGACAATGCCTCCTTCCCAGCGGATATACATAGCCACTTTCCCCTTGTTTTGCCCACACTGCACTTTTCCAACTTCTGCTCATTATCTACTCAACGATTAGAGGATAAAACTGGTTAACTGTTTTACAACAAATCCCCCCGTGCTGTACGATCAGGAAATTATTAAACTGTCATTTGTCTGGATGTAATGAATGAGCAGAAATGAAATGATGGAATAAAATGAAAACGCTCAATCCCTGTAATCTAAGTAACAGAGAAATTAAGTACTACCTGTTTTCAGTTGGTTCCAGCCCCATGTAAATAAACAAATTTTTCTCTCAACTATCGAGGAAAATGGACACGGAGAAATATTCTGTAGAATTTTTTTTTCTCGTTTCGCGGATTTTTCTTGCATTTACACGATTTTCAATAAATTTTTACTGTGGTCAGTGAAATTTTCTTGATGCAAGTAAAAAACTTTACTGTCAGTAAAAAAAGTGTTTTTAACAAAAGGATTGGAAATAATTGGAAATTCAACTCGAATAGAATTTGCTTGAAGAATTTATCACGAATAAAAGCAAGATAAATCGACAATTAAAATTATCACCCGTAGAAATCAATTGCACCGAATGAAATCTTGTGACATCTCCGATGAGGAAATTAATAATAATAATTAATCCGAAGCGGCATAGAAAGAGGTCACGATTAGAAAGGTCTCCTCGACGATAATGTCGAGATTTTCAGTCTTTATTCCGATCGAACCTCCCAAGTTGGATTTAAAGTAGGCCTCCGACAGGCCAGAAGTTTCGTGACAACTTGACCCGGTTTGTAATAACAAACCCAATGGCACCTCTCTTTCACCGCTGTCTTTGAACCCATCTGAGTGCTCCTCGAAGGTATTTGACATAACCCTGGACGTGAAAAATATTACACACGCGTAACACCAAAATATTGACCCCTCCCCGGTGAAAGTTTTCACCAGCAAGTTCATCGACCCAGAAAGGTAAATAAATCACTGGAGAGACTGACTAATGGGCACGCGATTTAATTGTATTCCTTTTAAAATGTCTCTTTATACTGCGATCGTGAAAAATAGGTGCGAAAGTTGTGGATTATTTTCGATTGTCTCAGCGATTATCCAAGTGGTTATATCCAGCGCACTTTCATCGCTGTTAACCGTCGAGAGCGCATACGGTATTACCTCCAGGAGTTATTCCTACGTCGGGGGAATCCGGGGAGAGGAAATAACACTAAATAGAGGGGAAGTCGTCGAAGAGAGGATAAGAGATGTGGTAAACATCTCCAGGAGGAAGATAGAGGAAGATAGAAGTGGCTTTTCTCGTTTGACTCTCTTGCGTTTTTGATGGGCTGGAAATGCGTAACGCCGAGGCTCACACTCTGGGGATGCCGGTTGCACGCGATGCACTTTCATAAAACTTTCAGCTTTCCATTGCGGCCGCATTGAATTCGCCTGAAAAAGGAATAGTCCGGAGGATAGTTTCTAATCGAGGTGCATTGCTTTTTCCTGGCTAACCATCATGTCGTTGATGAGAGCACGGGGTGCATTTCAATTGTACATGCGTGCGCATGACCATTTCGTTGCACCTGCTTATTATTAGTTTCTCAGGGATATTTATAGCGTAATTGTCGCATCTGCTGCTGAGGGGGCATCATCACCATTACCATTAAGAGGGATAAATATAAAAAAATTAAACATTCATTATTTTGATAAGGGATCATTTGTTTTACAAGATATTCTAATAAGGGTTCTTGTTTTATTCAATATTAAATTGCATGGAATTTTCAATTACGGTAACACAATTACGATATCATGATAATGTCATTTGTAAAAAATTTCAGGATATCTCGTTCATTTAATTTATTAATTTTGTTATGTATCCATCACAACGAATTTTGTACTGGAGGTTCATTTAATTTTGTTAATTCAATTTTTTTTTCCATTCTAAGAAATTTTCCATTGAAGTCTCAATTAAATTGAAATTAATTGAGAATACTATTACTTAGAGGGCAGATGTAGGAACAATGAGTGAGGATTAAAAAATAGGATGCAAATGCCAGAGGGTCATGAGCGTGTCCGCGAAAATTGACGTGACATTGCCTGTCGGAAGCTGTCAGGGACAATCTCTTTTCCCCTCGCATTCACTGTACGGCAGTTGTTCGAAAGAGAAAGGTGAAGTGCAGCAACACGCACATAGCTAATCTGAAACGTGTATTAGAACCGAAAGAAGAGAAAGAAAGTGCAGCGATGAGACCCAAAGTGACGAGACAACTCTCCAATCTACAACTTCCCTTCTAAATGTTGTGCCTCCCTCTCTCTTGAGGCCACCATCGTGGAAAGAAATCAAGACCTGCCTCAAGTCAAGTCCAACAATTTCTTTTCTTCATTCCCCCCCACTGTTGACTTTTTTTTTTCTGCATCGTTCGAGGCTCTCAGCGCGTAACGATCGCGTAATGCAAGCCACAGTGAGAGTTGCAGCGATTTCATCGGTGTGATTATACGGAGGTTGCAGAATTCTTTATGTTTCCAGAACCGTCATCAGGGAGGGATTAGAGATACACAAGTGGGACAGATACCGCAATTAAGTATTGGGCTTCAAGGTACGGAGCGGAATTCACCAGAAGAATTATTGCAGGGGGAAAAAATCACCGGGAAAAATCTCTTAGATCCTGGAACCTATATTAAAATACGATGGAAAAAATCATAATTTTTACAGAGTTCATTTACTGACCACAATGAAATTCACATATTTCAAAGGCAAACATTTATTTTCACTCACTAGTCCCAGTGAATTTATTTATTTATTTGATGATAGGATTATTAAGTAAATTGTTTTTGAATTTTATTCCATTTACAATCAGGTGAAACTTTACTGATAAAAATGAAATATTCAATTTTATTTCAAATTATGTAAGAATTGATAAAATACTGAATTATTCGATTCAATTATATTCCATAAAAAATATGAGAAAATCGTGGAAATTCTCGGTGAAAGTCAGAAGAAATAAAGAAAGTTCATTATGTTATTATTTTTACAGAATCATTGAATCGAATATATACGATTCTTCAATCCCAAAATTCTGAAACCTAAACATGAATTGCCTTCTGCCAAATGAATAAACATACCTCAATCAAATATACACAAACTAAATAATCGACAAGTGACTCACTCCGTTCACGAATTTTTATTTGAATCATTAACACACCTTACCTTGAATTGGAGTTATCTCCCACCAGTGTAGAGTAAAATAGACTGTAACTCGAATTCCTCCAGGAAGCAAATATGACTTCCTACTCGATATAATGAGTCCAGCAGGAGCCGTCACTCTGGTTGAATAAGACCTCGTAAAAACTAAAAAGGTAAAACGACAATTGAGTCATTAGTTTGGTATTATCGTATCAGGTTAGCCCCTGAGTCATTGCTTTATGAAACAACTGACTAAACCATGAGTATTGCCAGCCGATGATATTACGCATGACTCCCGATGAAGCCCCTCCGATATTTTCCAAACCTACGTCTTCAGTTGAGTGCATTTGACACGTTACAATACATTGGCAATATAAAGTGCAGCCTTGAAGTGCAACGAGCCCGTGACACGCTTTGTAGAATCGAATTGTTGCAGCTGGACGAAGTCCCTCTCGGTGGATCTCGGATGTTCGTGTTGCATAAATAAAGTTGTTCAACAAGATCATTTGTACCGCCATGCACTCAGTTTCGCTGATTATTTGATATCACTTTGCACATTGATGATGAATCGCTGGACACTGGAGCTAGATAAACTCGACTCGAATTTACAACAAAGACATTTCTTTATTATGAAACCGTTCTTTATTACGAAGAATCATCATACGCTCAGCGATAACAAATTGTTTGCACAAGTGCATTTTCAGATTTTTGCTATGGCAATTATCATTATATTATTACGACTGAATTATACCTTTTAATGACTGGGAGTTGATTCGAAAATGCATGTAATAGTTCAAGTTGTAAATAACAGGTCTTCAAATCAAACCCATAAATTATCTTTAAATAACAAACATTAGGAATTACTTCAAGTGCAATTATGTTAAGTCTGGTATATTAATTAGTCTGCCAGCTGTTTAATTAATCAATCAAATTTTTCATCTTTCAACTATCTCTTTATATCGGTAAATGTCTTTTGTCGCGGAAAATTTTCAATGGGATGGACGGGATTTCCACGGAAAATCTCTGGGATCGGAGAGGGTGGAATAATGTTCCCTTTAGGGGAGATTTGAATAATGGCGGTTTTGGGAATCGAAATAGAAATACTTTGGACTAATCGGAGTGAGTGGACCACTGGGACATCGCAGAACAATGCAGGGGAAAATAAAAGACCATTAGATTGTGCCGAATGCCTGACCTTTGACCGATTCGCAATTGAACGTAAGTAAATCCGCAAATAGACACCGAATGTCTTCTCTTTGCGGCTTATTTAGAATTACACACACATACTCTGTTGAACATTTTTAGTTCCGGTTCACTGCGTGCAAGTTTTAATCGAACCGACAAATTCATACCAAAAGAACCGAAAGGTCAATAATTTAATTCAACATTAAATGAATATTTCCTACTCTCTCTTTAATCTTCGTTAAAAAATTTAAAAGTCTGAGAAAATCGAGAGAGAGAGAGAGAGAGAGGAAAAATTACGAAAATCAGGAAAATCCAGTGCAAAATATTAAGGCGAACATCAAAAATTCAAATGAATCAAGAAATTATAATTTTTCAACCGCTCAAAAATGAGGAATATCTCTGGATCTAAAAGAGATAGCGAGATTTGTGAAAATAGCTTTTTTATAGCTATTTCTTCAGTCTGTAAAAAATATCTTTATGATAATTTTGATTTTTTTTTTAGAACCAGAGATATTCTTCGGAGACTATGTCTCGTCAAAGTAAATTTCAGAGTTACTCGCCAGAAAATAATTTCCCTTTTGTCAGATGGTAGGGGAAAATCGTTGAGCTTTCCCAACGATTTCCCGAGAATACACCTGCCCCCCGTGAGTATTTTCTGAGAGCAATAATAGCGGAGGATATCGAACAACTCTCATTCGAATTACATAACTTGGACGATTATAAGAGTCCTATTGCATGCAGCGGTCGGATCATGGCCAACTCAATATTACGTAGTGAATAAATATATAATTGGGTTGGCCAGTGGTCGCCCATTCAAGGTCGTGCCCGTGGCATAGAATTTTTATTTGTCCACTCATCGTCTCCCTGGCATCCTCTGTGACTGTTGAACATTTTTTTAATTTTCAGGAACAGCTCTATCTGAAAGCTCCATTATGATTCTCGGAATTTTAATTCAATTTGAGATCAAATCGCTCATTGCAATTCCCATTCATCTTCAAAATTCCACACAACCTAGTTTTTCAGGCTCAACAATTCTTGATACTTCAAAGACAACTTGAATTTCAACCCTCGCTATGAAAACGGAATATTAAGTTCAATTGAATTTTCAACGGACTGCGTAATTAATTATCCCGTGAATTTTTCATTGAATTTAAAAATCCCGCGTTTCACTGGATATTCCATTTTTCAATAAGATTTTCTGCAACTTTAATGGTATTGAGATGAAAATTTCCGGGGTTCGAGTAGTTATTGAATTGAATGCGAAGATGGACATTGGAAATTGAGAGGCAGATGTCGGTTGAATTTTGAAAAAAAAAAAAAAACACCAGGAAAGTAATTTGAACAGCCGTAACCGGTGCAATTCGCGAAAGAATACCGAGCTGAATCATCAATTACCATCCGGTGAAATGTATTTTCGTCCGCATTCACTGATTCGCTCGAAAGATTCCCAAAAAGAGTGGAACGAAGGGAATCGGTAGAAGGGGAAAATGCCGTACACGTCACAATCAATTTGATTGGATAACAAAGGCTGAATAAATTGCCGAGGCGCTGAAAACACTTGCATCAGAAAAGATACGAATGAAAAAATACCTAAATTATTCGATAACGCGGAGTGAGAAAAAATCAATCCCCCGTGGACATTGGCGATATAATTTCCCGTCTCTCCCCATTTGCAAATTGCGTCTCAGCGATAAATTATTATCGAGTGGCTCAACGATTTGAGGTGAAGAAACTCGCAACGAGCGTTACGCCCACACGACCCTGACATTTAGCCACACAAATCACTCGGAATTTTCTTTGTAACAGTTGATACAATTTTTTTTTTTTAATCTACATCCAACATTTCAAGAGTCGTATCACAGTTCTGGGAAGAAGGGGTAAGTGATGAAATAAATATCGGGTGCATACAATTTATCGAGCGATTGGAATTCGCGAGAGGTGGCGAGTGAAAAAAAAAAGGCTAATGAACGATATTAACGCGGTTTTCGGAGACTAGCAGGGAATTATCTCTATAGATAAAAAAAACGGCAAACAAGACGCGGTTTTACCGCTTTATTCACTTTTATCTCTGTTAACAATTGTTGGTTCAATTTTCGGGGCTTTATACCGGAAATTTTTATCGCTTTCACCTTCCAGTGGAATTTAAACCGCACACGCTGTGAAACTTTAAAACATTCAACTTTTAAAATTATTTATTGAATTTTTATTTCTTGTATATTACCAGTAAATACCTAAATATACTCTCAAAATTTGAAAACATCCGATGCAGTATTTCCGTCAAAAAATTATAACTAGTGATTGAAGTTTTCAAATATTTCGTTGTTTTCGTGTTTGAATAATAATCGAAAAATTTTCCATGAAACCGATAAAAAAATTCAGAACAATTGAGATTTTTTATTATCACTCAGACTTTAATCCCCGACTTCCTGAAATTTTCTTAGAACCCCATAATTTCGATGCAGCCATCAAGGTCTGCCCGTCGATCGATTCAAATCCCTCCCTACGTCCTCACCTTGTCGCAGATTCCGGGTTCTCCATGGCATTGCTATCAAGAAAACCGAAGCAAAAAGACATCTTAAAACCCCAAGGCCACAATTCCCACTGACAAAGGCATCATCGCAAAACGAGTTTTCCTACGTAAAAATCATCCCCAATCTCCAAACACCTAAAAAAAAAAACCCACGATTCACCCAATTAAGTTCTGCTCCACTCAATACCACCCCAATTTGTCGCACAGTGATCCTTATAATTATCAGTTGCCAATCGTAAATCGGAATTGTGCACTTCAAAATAGGAGAGAAAATTATTGGTCCGATCTCCAGCGGCTGTCGAATAAACGCTATTTTGCATCGGTTTGGGATGCAGTGACGTAAGTCGGGGTCGAGACGACAAGGAGATGAAAAGACGTCGGGCCACTCACCTTGGGTCCTCGCTAAATCCCCCTGAAAAAACAAAGAGAAACAGCTCTGCGCACACTCCAGCACCTACTCCTCGAGTTTCAATTTAACCCCCGGAGTGTGTGTGCATCGAGAGAGGGGCAAGAGGGGAAAAAAGGAGAAAAAAAAACGGGTGGGTGGGCAACGGGGGGAGGTATGGGAGGGAAAAAAAGACTGACGAAATGGATATAGTGGGGGAGTTGATGAGACTGCAGTTGGGCGTGTGTGTCGGTTAGGGCCTTGGATTCGCCTGTCCTTGACTCAGCACAGTTACCCCAACACTGTGACGTCACTCTGCATAACTTCGCCTAATTGCATCGTTGCTCCTGCAGTTCTACAACGGTGTGGCAAAAAAAAATCCCACCAACACACGAACTCGGGACTTTGTCCTTCTTCACACTGACTCGCTTCACCCTTCGCTGTTTTCACCTCCCTCTTCACCAGTCTCTTTCAACTTCTCGTGTACGGAGAGCACCATCAAGATTATTATTCACTCCTATCATCTCTCTCTTCTTTGTGTTTCCCTTTCATCGGATACACTGCCCCCTATATGCACCGCCCTTTCAACCCGGCGCCTTATATTTCACTTTTTATCGCCTCTCGCTGCTTGTGTACATGTGCCATGAAGACTGGAGGTCGTCATGGGGGCCATCAACTAACTATACTGGTTGAAAAAAAAAAAAACAATTTATTAATGACAGAAACTCTATGATTGATTGGATATTTAATTACGTCGGGAGTTGGGTATTCGCGGGAGAGGAAATTCTTGAATTGTTTGTGGCGATGCTATAATGCAATAATGCAATATTGCAATAAATCCAATAAATGGAATAATGCAATAATGCAATAATGCAATAATGCAATAATGCAAAAATCGAGTGGGACTTGGATCTCCAACTGGAATTTTATGCAATTAAATGGAGAGGAAAATTTTTGGGGTACAGATAAAAATCGATGTGCATGTGGTTGTTGGTTGGAGGCGATCGGAGGGACTCATCCGTGTGTGTGTCTCGGGGGGACTCAATAGGTGACCTTGACGGGCGCAATCCTTTAAGAGTGGCATGGTCAACGTTCCCGGGGACCTTCGGGTGTTGGAGAGCGCGTCGAGAGCTAGTCATGGACGGCCAAACTGCAGTCCCAACTCAACATGCCCCAGACGCTCCCAATAAAGCTCGCATTCGCGCTAAAACCCAACGCCACGCATCTGCCCCGGTCTCACACATACATCCACCACCATCAGGAATATTGTCTGGGGACTCTCACGCACAATTATTTCACACTGCTTGTTAAATCATTTTTTCGCCATTTTCATTTTTTACCTTTTTTGAACCTCTCACATCGAATTGTAATTCAGGATTTGAGGGTCAAATTTTGTCCCATTTTGGGTCACATCTGAGACTTGCGAAAGCCCTGGATTGGGCCTGATGTATGTCCACCAATTGACACTTGGGGAAATCGACGCAAAACTTTTCTATTTGAATTTTAGTTCTCAATTCCTTTATTAGTCGAATTGAAATTTCCAATTTTCACCTGAAATTTTCATGAGTGTTAATTAGGGACTTATTTTGAATTGAGTGTTGAGTGTAAAAATTGAGCCTTTGAAAAATCTCAGATTGGGACTCAGAGATATCATGATGAACCTGAAAACGAGGATCCATTATTTTCGGATGCATTGTAAAGACCTTGAGCTGAAGAAGAATATCAAATTGAGTCCCAAAAATCTCACGCGAAGTGCCGAAAAACCTGAAATAAACGTTTATGCATTCTCCGGGCGACGAAAGAATTAACATAACCACGGGAGAAATTGACCGCATTAATAAATGGAGATCGACAATTGACTTTCAGAATTGGCTGAAAAAGTCAGTGTCAATTTTTGTAGGTCATTCGGTGCAATCCAACGGTCCACTTGAGATGATAATACATCACCGAGAGGAAAAACGCGACAAATTAACCATGAAACTTGGGCCTTAAAGCGGCTGAGCAATCGTCAAATTATCATGACAACGTTTTTCCAATTCATCGGATTACCAATTCCACGCTGAAAGCATTGTTTTACCATACAATAATCAGCAGCATTAGTACCTCACGTGTCGCAACACGAATTTCAACACTTGTCCTCGACCGGGGGCCCGTGAATTTATTCCACCCCTCCCTCCCCCTCTCGCCGCCCCTCATTTGCGAATTAAACACTGCATTTAACATGACGATAATTCAAACATGGTGCAATTCAGAATGGCGAAGAAAAAGAGCGGGGAGTTACGGGCGTCTGTTGGATTTTCAAGATGAAAGGAAAGAAGAAAGAGATTTATTTTCGGATAAGTCTAAAAATTGCATAGGTTTCGTCTCTCTGGTGGAGATGCGTTCCCCGTGGCAACATTTTCGGTTCACCGAGGGTCATTCCTGAGTCATAGACCGGACGCCCAAGCGCACACGCGTCCTCTCCTCATCCCGCCTCGGTTTTTGCCTTCCAGAAATTCCTGATGACGAATATCTTGGGGATTACAAGGCGCACAGGCGAAACACCGAGAGAACGGAAAGAGGAGAAAAAAAGCTACACTGAATGCAACACTCTGTGCACTGGCTCCTTTCTTTCACCACATCTTTAACTCACTAAAGTCCAACACCGCTGGAAATGACATTATCTCAGTTAGCACCACTCCAAACACCATTTTCAGCGCGTTTATCTAAAACATCGAGTATTCATTTTCCTTCATTTCGATTTACACATGGACTTTTTCCTCCGCCCTGAATTTAAAGAGAAAATCAATCACTGAATAAACAATGAGGAGATTCATTTTTCGATATTGCAATTTTGCAATTTCCATAGATTTCAAAATGTATTTGATTTTATTTCTTTCCATTTTTGAAACTAAATTTTTTTCAAAAATAAATTTTTTTCACGATAACTCAACCATAAATATTGTGTTCTCCATTCTTATTCTCATCTCGAAACACTATTAAGTAAACTATTACTATCGTTTATTACATACTCTCGAAGTTACTGCCACTAATATTTTCTTCATCATCTCGAAAGTTGGTCTTAGGTTTAATGCGCTTGGTGTTTTCACTGGATACTACGTGCTGAAGCCGAAATAATCGACGAACCATTGCAATTGACATTAAATTGTTGGAACTTTTCCAATATCGATTCCATCGACAACAGCCTGGAACTGCACATGAAACTGCATAATCCCCAAAATTTACATTCCGTCATCGGAAAAAAAAACCGATGCACGAAAATCCCAGAGGAAAAATCACTGCGCTATTCCACCAACGCGGGAACTTTTTTTTTTTTTCATTATTTATAAACTCATCATATCCGGAACGAGTCGAGTAGGATGGATGCAAAAAGAAAGAATCGACTGCATTCCGATCACTTTGCCCGGTCTAACCTTCAGCCCGATTCGGGGGCAACAACACCAGGGCGTCTATGTTACATATATAACAACACACATAAAAAGCATTTTGGCCCGTTTGGGTCGTAGTATTATAGAAGCTAAACGGGTGGGGGCATTCACTGGAGTTGACTTTTAGTGTCTATCCAGGGCCCTCTATCCTCGGCCGCCGACTGACGCGGGGGGAGGCTTTTCGGGTGGAGAAGAAAAGGGGGAAAAAAAAAGGAGCAACCCCCGCCCAAAATACAAAAGGAAAAATTGGGCTGAGAAAAACGACGTCGAGCCCCAAAAAAAACCGCTGCGTGGGCAAAAAATAGGTGGGTTTAGGGGGTAGGGGGTGGGTGAGGGGGATCAGGTGGAGGGTTTTTGGGGGGGGAAGGGTTTGGCTGATGGGGCTAGTATGCCAAATGTAGAAAGTGAGACTGAGAAAGCGTTGGAGTCTGGAGGGGCAGTGGGGGTTCGAGTTTGTTGGAAGGTGGGGAGAACAGACGCGACGGCAACCGGCGCTCTGCCTTGAACCTCGCGCGGTGCATTGCCCGTCGCTCAAGGGCGTCCGCCGTTTTCTCTTTTAACCTCTCTTCACCACCCCACACCCTCCCCATCCGGGTTAGCGTCCACCAGCATTCGCACGCGAATCACTCCAATCGAACTCGTGAATTCATTTTTGGGGGTCGGCAAACCGTCCCTCGAGAATGTTCAAGAAAAATATTCAAAGTTGTTTTGAGGGTTCAGGGATTAATTTCAGACTTGGGAATTTCAGTGGCTTCACACTTTTGGGAGGATCAATTTCAGTGATCTTTCGAGTTGAGATTAGTGAAGTCGAGCTTTATTTGCAATCTGCCAATAGGAGAACTTGAGAATTTTGTCAACTTAAATTGAGTCATGAGAGTTCTGGGTTAGGGGGCTTGAGAGGCTTGATGTGGGACGTGTTAATTTGAGACATCCGAAAGTCTTAACTTGGGACTTCTAGAAATCTTGAATTGACCCCTCGAAGTCTCAGTTGCGGCTTTGATGTCGTCAAATAAAATTTTTCCAAAAGCATTAATCTGAGACTGCAGAAGATCTCCGTGTGAATTTCAAGTTAAAGTTTAAGAACTTCTCTTCAAATTTCTCCGCATGCCCTTCAGTCGTTCTCACTGAAATATTTCCATGAGAATCAATAGTTTCCGCGCGGGTTGCATCGAATTCGATTTTGTCGTGAACAGGCGGACTTCACTTGTAAAATGTCAGTGCCGAAGAAACAAGAAGCTCAGAACAAGGACTTCGAGGGGGATTTTCTTGAATACAAATGCCATATCTTTCCGTCAATTCGTGCGAATAGTTGAGAAAGCCTCAATAGATTATTTTTATTTCCTCACGGTGGAGTTCACACTGGGTTTACCTAGAAGTATCACAAGGGAGATCACGTTTCTCATGTCTTGTTCGGTGTCTTTGAGCACGTCATCAGCATTTGAGTAAAGGGTAGTTACGTCGCCATCACTCAATGGGATGTCCACCCTCAAAAAGCGGACGTAACAGCAGCGTTGTCCCTCAAGGGTCACGTGTAACTGACCGTTGTCACTTACACCAAATGAATATTGCTTTTTTAACAATAAATAAACAAATGGTCATTAAACTTTCTTCCAGCAATATTTACATGTCTGTAATACACGCGGTGCAATCCGTGTGATAATGAAAGCGTTACCTCCGTAATTCCGTGCTTTTCTTTTTTGTCACATCCGCCACTTGCCACAACAATCATGCCACTGTGTAAACGTGCCGATCAATCTGTAAATTAAATTGCGTTTTAAAAAATTTAAAGAATTACCATTACCAATGAATTATTCTCGAGGTAATTTTCCATATTCCTAGTTTTTCTGTGGTGACAATTTTTGTGAATTTGATTTTGAAAAAAAATCACTTTCATCGATTACCCCGAATTTTGTAAAAATATTATTTTCAAAGTATGTGGATATCCCGAATTGAATAGCTCGTGGGATTATCAAGTCTGTTGGTACGAACGCGAGAGAATTGTTGGTGGAGGAGAGAGAAAACCGAAGAACCGATAAATAGAAGCATTCCCCGGTCCAGAGAAGCCCTCGAACAAGGCAAACCTGCACTCCCCATTCCGGATGTACACATTCAACTTCTCCATACGATGTGTACACAAAGGCCAGGAGGCCGTGAGGCGCGTGGGTGGTTATGATATCCAGACCTCGAGGCAGAAGTTAACCTGCGCCCCAGGTCGAGGACGGGCGAGAGATGTGCGTGTCGCTGGGAAAAACCATTGTGGTTGCATTTTAACATGAGCCTACAACAACCCACTCCCCATCAAGGTCACCAAGGGGAGGTTGTGCAGTGGTCGAGTTGGAGGGACAAAGAGCATTCCAGGAGTTGTACCAGGGCACAAAACGCAGACGAGGGTGAATTGCAACCCATTAGCCCACAGCACGCCACACCATTGCACGCATTATTGCGTAAGATTCAACGGTTGTTGCCAAGTCATTTTTATTTTTTTCGCTATCAAATTGCATCGATATCAGCAGCTAAATCACCTCCTATTCGATATCGCGAGCTATATCACTCAATTCCCCCAGAAAATACGTTTTACGCAGTTAGGGGAATCCCCTGTACTGGTGACCACCTGAAATTTTATTCAATAGTAATATTACCCCTCAAAATATTAAAAAAAAAATATTATAATGTCAATAAATAGTAATAATAATTACCCCAAATCACGATAAATTAATTACGTGAAGTTGTTTGAACAGATAGAATAAATGATAAATGAGAGAAATGAACTTGCCAAATTGTCGTAAATTTTGATTAAAATGAAGAAACGATGTGGAGAAAAATGTGCGGTTGAGGATTGCATAATCACCGCATTCTCCCAGGACGTACCTAATACATTTTGCAGTTGTTGCGCATGTAATAAGTAAGGGAAAAAGAGACGTGCGATAAAAGAGTGGCTAAACGGGATAAGGAGGAGTGCCCGCATTGGCTAAAGGAGTTGTGCATTGCACTGGCGAGAAGGGGGAGAATTGTCGGCGGAAGGCCCTCCGGTTGACTGTATATGTGAGGAGGATGGGGAGATGATAAAAAAGAGAGTGAAGAGGCCCTGGACGGTGGGGTGAGAGGATGGCGAGCCGGAGGTTAGTACCCACTGGAGCGGTGGCCGCGTGACCTTGCCAATATGCGCCGCACTGCGTCTGGCGCGTTGCGCACGCATTTTTCTGTCGTTTGTTTATCCAAGTAATTACCAGAACCTAGCATCACTTACACCAATAAATTCAATGCAATTGAAAACGTGCCTGACGTTTATGAGCACTGAGGTGCATTAAATCCTCAGGATTTAAGTCCTTAAGGCCCTTGAATGTTCTGACAAACTGCCCACAAAAAAAAAATTCATGCTGTTGTCGGGAAGAGTTCATGAGTGTTAATTTGAGACTTTTAACAAACCCAGTTTGAATCTTCGAAGGCTATTTGTGGTCTCTAAGTCCTCAGTAGAGACTTGGGGAAGGATCAAGGTGAGACTCTCAGGACTTGAGATTCTTCGGGGTGAGTTATGGTCTCAAAGATATGCCTGCAATCGTCTTCAGAGAGATCTTTTGTAAGTCCTAATTTGAAATTTTCAAATGTCTTGATTTGGGACTTGTAAAATTCTTGAGTTGAGGATTGTCGAATGCCTCGATTTTATTTATTTGTTTTTGCCGTGCCTTTCTAAAGTCTGGAATTAGAACTGAGGAAAGTCCCAAACTAAAACATTCGAAATTCTTCCATTAAAACTTGCGGAATTCTCAACTTGTCACGTTTCAGACCTTAATTTCGAACTTTTGAAGGTCTCACTCTGAGCCCCCAGGTCTCAAAGCAAAATTCGATTTTTAAAAATATATTCCATCATAAACTCTCAGGATTGCGACTCAACTTTTTGCAAGGCACGTTCTCCAAACCGTAGTGCATATTTATAAATAACTCCACTGGTGAACCCTCGAGATGTTCCGACGTTTTTATGACGAGAACAAAAAAATAGTGAAACAGGGAATAGTCGGGGGGCGATTGGAATAAAGCGAACGTACGTTTGATAATTGTTTACAGTGTGGAATTCTTGGCAGCCCGACGTTAGGTCACTTGTTTGCCTCTAAACACCAGAAATTACGTCATGCAGTGGGATAATGTCGTTTCAAAACCGTATCAAACGCGGCTGCTCGGTCCTGAATAGATAAAAGAAATGGAGGGACTGTTTGACGGGTGGGGGGGGACAGGGGGGGCCGAGAGGAGGGCAAAGTGGGAGTGATCTCACACACAAAGAATGTGGTCCGGACGTTTGGCCTTCTCGCCGAAAGTGCATCGAGCTCGTTGTCTCTTCGATGTATCGACTCTCTTTGTCACATTCACTCTCACCGCCCTCCCCTCCCCCTTACCGTATCCCGCAACCACCCTCTCCACCCCCCCGCATCGCCTCATTCCGCGGACTGCGCATATCGCGGGCACCACGACGTGTTGCGTCAAAGTAAACCAACCAACTCCCTAATCTCGTCTTTCAGAGAATTCCACTTCAAGTGCACAACCGTTTTACCGAAAAAAATGTTAACCGAGATTAATGCATGGGATAAACAATCGCTGGAAAATTATTCAATTTTTTGGGCCCAATATTCTGCGGGAAAACGAAATAATTTTATTGAGTATAATAATGCGTCGGTTTTCGGTGATTTTTGCACAGCGCCATTTTTTTAGAGTGGCTGGTTTTTTTCGTGGAAATTGAAAATGCAAAATTCATCGCCAATTTCATATGCCAAATGTTGAGAGAAAATCTGTTGTACCGCGGCTTTGGGATTTTTAAGCTGCAACATTTAACACATTTCTATGCAACGAAGCTACGGCCAACGAAAATAAAGTTTATTTTGAGATCTATGAGCTGGAACCGAGAATTTCGAAATTTTTAAATTGTCATTTTTCAAAGTCTCCATTTCACACCTTTCGAATCTCAAAATAACCTTTATTCCTGTCGGGCGAATCGGTAAGTCCCCGATAATTTTGTAACAGTTGTGATATCACACCCGCTAATATCCCGATTATTTAATCTGCTCAACGTGACGTCGAGGATGTTCAAATATTTTCGAAAAAAATGCAATACATCACCTACATGCTGAATATATGTGATCACAATTACTCCATAACGAGATATATTTCCAATAAGCAAAAAAAGCAATAAGTCGCACATACGCCGCATAGATATGGGGGTTGTACTACTTGGAATCTGAATTAGTAGATAGAATCCCGAACCCCGCAGCCGGGTATTCAGTCAGTAGAATAAGACGCGCGCGGGCGTTGTAGACAGACGGCAAACACCCGGGTCTGTATCCGTGGGTTCGGTTGCAGTGAGATAAAAAAAAAAAAGCACAAAGGGGATAAAGAAAATGATGAGCGAAGAGGAAGAGGGATTGAGCATGAGAGTGAGACATTGCGATAGAAGCAAGGTGCAATGCTCGCGCGCCCCAATGAACAAACAGCGTCGGTCGGGAGAGTTCTCGCACACGGCCCGTACACAGCCAAGGTCACCCGGGTAATGTCCCGATGCCCCCTATGCAGGACAAATTCACCGAACCACATACACACGCACATGAGCGAGAGGGGCGAGAGATAAAGAGAGAGAGAGAAAAAAAAAAGAGGGACGACGAGAAAAAAAAAAGGCGCTCCGGCGAGTGGGGGGAGCACTCCCCTGACCTCTTCCACGTCGTGGATGATGCAGTCGTCGTAGGTGAGAGGGGCCCGGGGGGGAGCGGGCCCAGAAGGGGACCGCGGCGACGGGCGCGGGGGGGTGGCAGCGGGTGAGGGCTGCTGGGAAAGGGGGTTGAGGGGCCTCGGAGGGGATTCACTCGGGTGATCTTTATTTATTTCCTGCTATCTCTGGCCAAGGGGCCCCCGGTTATATGCACACAACGGGAGAAAAAACTTGGGGATTATGCAACACAACGTGAACAACGAATCGGGTTGTACGCCACTTCTCATGACTCCTAGCAGCCTTTGTCAGCCACCCAACTGGTGATTAAGTCTGCGTCTGTCTGCGTGACCCTCGAGTCTCTTTGTGGGATTCGAGTGATGATTAAGTCCAGACCTCGCGAGAAAAAAGAGACTGCAATTTTTTGACTGGTTGGTTTTCTTCATGGTTTTGATGGGTCTTGGTATTTTTTTGATGATTTGTTTGGTTATGGAAATTTGGGGGGGGGGCATTTTGGGGAAATGAAGGATTTTACTTTGTTAATAAAAATTAATGGCTTTTTCGTGATTCCCGAGCGAATAGAAGTTAGAGGGATTATTCCAGAATTTTCTCAGAACGTTCGGTAATTTTTTTTTTGAATTTTCGCAAGAAATTTCGCAAGAAATGAGTAATTGTTGGAAATTCGACGTTTTACTCACAAACTCGGGAGTAATCGTCTCACGGTATCTCCAGAGAATTTCTCCAATTGTTTTCACGCATGTTTATCTCTTCCCCTGCACACACGAAAACAAATTGTCCAAGAAAGTGGAATTTTAAAATTAAACTTTTTTTTCCGCAGCACGCACAAAAAAAAAAATTCAACCGCAAACTGAGTTGCCAACTCGAGCGGGAAATTTGAAATTGGACGAATGGAGTGCGCAGTGGATCCCGTATTATTGAATTTTGATGATAAATGAAAGCTTTCATGAACTCAAAATGAACACAACATTGAAAATTCGTTGCAATGATTACTGAAGATTAAACAAATCTCTAGATTCGTGTGGGCAGGCACCTACGTAAGACGTAAAAACAATGGTGGGATAACAAAGCCTGGACACGTGAAATTTCATGGACCTTGACGTGACTGTGAAAATTGAGAGAGAAGTTGAATTTCGCACACAGGTTAACCTCACGAATAGTGGACGGGGTCGTTGCCCACGGGTCTCATCTAACGTGGCCAAATTATTTTCGAGCCACCCATACAGTATCATCATCCCACTCATATTTTTCGATGCTATACTAGGTGGTTTGTCTTTCCCCGGACTGAGGATCATCCCAACATCATCTTGGTTCACTCATCTCTCCATTTGCTTGTGTGAGCGACCTTGTACATTATTTTTTTTTTACAAGCTCCTTTGTCACTGGTATCACGAGGCGATTCACTCGTTATTTCGTGAAGACTAATTTGAGATTTTACAACGAAAATTGGAGGGATGTTGGATGAGCGTCAAGATTTGTCACAACCAAGGTTGAAATTTAGGAAATTCTTCAGTGGTATTGCTTCCGGCTAGAGTAAAATCTCTCTGCGCCGTATCTCCGTCGAATTAAGTAGCTATTTACACTTACAAAATTTATTATTGTCTCGGGGATAGATGGTAATCGTAAATTAGACATTTCGAGATATTAAAACTAGTGGACCAACGCCAGATTCAACTGCTGACGTTATTTCCAAGACCTTCGATACCTTCTTTTTTTCCTCTTGACGACTCGCTGAGTTTAATTTCAACTTCTCGGAAAAATCTTATCGGTGCATTTCGTCAGACGTGTGTCTTTGTGCTTTCCTCAAGGTGGAGGTAATTAAAAAAATAATCATTATCGCTCGATAAATGGGTATCGCTCGGTGAATCTTTGTAAATAATCGAGGGGCCGGAAGTTGACGTGGACAAAATTCAAGAAAAACTCTTGATCTCCACTTGCATCATACATTGAAACATCCAGTGTTCCCACAAAACTCAGGGACTTCCTGATAAACGAGTCTAGCTGAATCGAAGGTAGAGAGAAAAAAGTCACGAGTCATATATCTCGGACGCCATCGATTGCGCAACAGAGGGGGGCACATAAGGTGGTATATTGTAGGGGGGGAATTATGAGAGTCATAATCGTGCACCGACTGCAAATCGAATAACATAAAACCGCCAACCGATTAATTCCTATTAGTGGAATTATGCAAGTACACTGGTCAATGAGAAAAAAAATTTTCTTACTCGCTGGAAAATACCCTTTAATTCTAGGAACTCGCGAGCTAATAAACATTCGTTACCTCTAGCAAAACGATCTTTTGTCGATCGATAATTCGTTGCAGTCATGGATTTTATTGTTCGAGCAAAAAACACTCTGTCCGTAATTGCTTGCAAATTCAAGGATATATATTCACCTGAATTTCAAGACTTCTCGCTATTTCCGGGGATTAATTGGAATATTTTTCAATTATTTCAAATCAGAAAAAAATTGAAAAAATCGTTTGTCTACAATTAATTATTCCAAGAATATAACGAATGAATCGTCTTAAATATCCAATTGCGGAATTCCGTTGAATTTGAGTAAAATACTGAAATGGAGAATTTTTCAAATACGATGAGCGAATATTTTGTACCGACGAATTACGTCAGTGGATTGAACAAACAAAACAAATAGCCCGTGAATAAACACCCCGACACCGGGAGATTGTGTTCATGCAGCATTGCAGCGTGTCTTATCTCAAGATTACACGATTCAGTCATCACTCGAGAATTGAAGTGAAAGAAATGGCGGATGGGGAATCATCCGGGCGAATATAACACTGTCCCTCAACTGTATATACACGTCTCAGGAGTTTATGACCTATGTTCCAGGCTATTTCCGTCCATGCGTTCCCTTCTGCATGTACCGAGAACGTGCCTCTGTACCTCGTTACACCAGAATCATTTCCCAACCATTTTCACCCTCGTCCTTCCCATTTTATCCCCACCCCATAGCCGCGAGTCTTTATTAATATTTATTAATAACCAATTGGACTCTTGAAGAATTTCGTCCTGATATCCATTTTGATAATTACCATCGATTACTCCGGGAGTTGTGAATTATTTTTTCGTGAGGCTTCAATGATAATAATTTTTTATTAATTATTTGATTTTTTCGATTTTTTTTTTATCTTTTTTGATTTCGTTCTATATCGGCGGATGTGCCGACGTTGGCCACTCATAACTCCGCCGACGTACGACCTTGCTTTGTCACTGACCTGTCCTAGGCGGCGACTCCTCGACCGCGCCCCTCTTATTTTCACAGATACCGTCTGAAAATTTCAACGACTCTGCAATTTCGGGGAAACGAGAACCCCAAATGAAGATGTTCCCTGAAAAAAACAAAGCAATTTTCGAGGTTAATTGGGAGCTGGATGGAGGCAATTTATTGAGTGAAATTACACAAATTGCAGGCGACCTCAAATAATCTCCTATAATTTTATGATTTTTAATTATTTGTGTAAACAATTCCACGTTTTTTTATTTGAAAAATACCATTTCAATTTCAGACGATTTTATTGCAGCGTTTTATCGAATTTTTTTAATCAAAAGAATTCATCAGGATATATTCGCTAATTCTCAATTATCGGAATGGGACAGAATTTTTTTATTCTTTTAAGGATCTACTGGATTATTTCCGTTTTTATGTCAATTAATCAAATAGTAAAAAATTGATAAAAAGAGAAATTTGGAAATTTTTATATTTTGGACAATTTCAACTGAATGGAAATTACTCGAAGTACTCGTTATCTTTAACACGTGAATAATCAGGAGATTTGATTATCGGTGTTGAGTGGAGATGTTCACGACGCGTGTCCTCTCGACGTTATGAGCTTGTGAACTTGGGGATAAATTCGAGTTTGAGACCCGTAGTTTTGTTCACCATTGCACAGTACATAGTGATTTCTCCAACACCCTTCCCCGTATTAATTAACTCATGACTGGCGTCGCTAATGACGAAACTTCAAGAAAATGGATCCGCCATTGTTTCACAAAATAATGTGAAACAAATTGACACGGCAATATTGCTACCTGTCATTGCAAAAAGAAACTGAATCTCATGCACTTGTAGAAACAATTATTTCTTCCAAATAAATATCCTCCACACATCTTGCACTGACAAAAAACTCGAGTCAATGAAAAATCCAGTCCCGAAAGTCCCAACTCGATACTTTCGAATGTCCCGAGACTTTCGGATGTTTCAAATTAAAATCTCCAGAAGTCTCACGCAAATTCTTCCCAAAATCTTAATTTCCGACTTTCGAGATTATCGAAATCTCAGAGTAAAATTGATTATCCGAGGTAAACCATAAAAAATTTTCAAAATTTTCCAGCAGGGTGTCGCTTTTCAAATCTATCATATGTGAAACATCAAAATTATGATGTGACAGGTACTTTTAATAATTTCCAAACTTTATTGAATATTTATTTCCATACTACCTCAGGCTATGTCTATGTATTTTGCCTCTGGCCTACCCAAATTAAAAAGGAAGAAATATATTTTCCAGTGTGAACGACTGTAGAAAAATGGAGCGCACTTTCTCGCTCTCGTTGCTCGTGAAACGACG